CACTGGGTGGGGGTCCCACTGGGTTGCCAGCCTGGGTGAGGAGCTGATGAGTGTTTGCAGGCTGGTCACACCCCCTTCAGAGTGGGGTTCCTCACTGGGGTGCCTAGCCAGCCTGAGTGAGGGACTGATGGCTGTTTGCAGGGTGGTCACACCCTCTTCAGGGTGGGCAGTCCCCACTGGGGGGCCTGGCCAGTCTGGGTGAGGGGCTGACAACCTTTTTCAGGCTGGCCAAGCCCTCCAGGGATAGAAGCTCCCAGCATCTCCTTTTTTTCTTCTGTTTTTAAATTCGGGTATTTATTTACCTTCTACAATTGAAACTTTGTTGCCTTCAGTGGAGCTCAGAGCCAGCTTCTGCTCGCTCCAGCTCTGTGGCCACAGCTCAGAGCTGGCTGGGAAGCTTGGCTTCCTCCATCACTGGAGCAACCAAGACTTCTGCTTGCTTCAGCTCCATTGCTGCCAGCCACCATCTTGGTTGGGTTAATTTGCATATAGTCGCTCTGATTGGCTGGTGGGCATGGCTTAAGGCATAGCGAAGGTATGGTCAATTTACATGTTTGTCTTTTATTAATGCAGATGTGTGCCCTGGAGCACCACTAAGAAAACAACAGATATCAATTAATAAACTTTCACCTTAATATCCTTTCACTGTAAAATAAGAACAAACTAATTCCAAAGCAAACAAAAGGAAAAAAATTAGAGATTTATGTAAATTATATTAATGATATAGATAATGAGAAAATACAGAAAAAAATCAGTGAAAGCAAATGCTGGTTCTTTGAAAACACCAGCAATTTTGACACACTTTTAGCTAAACTGGCCACAATGAAAGACAGGAGACTCAAATTACTACAATCAAGAATGAAAAAGAGGACAGTACTATTGACATTACAGAAATAAGAAAGATTATAAGGCAATACTATAAACAACGGGGTGCCAACAAATTAGATTAAAAAATAGACAAATTCCTAGAAAGACATAAACTACTGATACTCTCTCAAGAAGAAATAGCTCATCTGAATAGATTTGTAACAAGTAAAGAGGTTGGAAACTACCACCAAGAAAAGCTCAGGCCCAAATGGCTTCACTGGTGATTTCTACCAAACCTTGAAAGAAGAATTAATACCCATTCCTCACAGACTTGGCCAAAAATACAAAATTCCCTTAATGTTATTTTACCACAAAGTTTCTTTCTCTGTGTGAACTGCTTGAGAGTTAGAGACAGAATGCCTCAATAATCCATGGTGTATTTCTTTAAAAAATTACATGGAAGCATAATTTTTAAAAATAATACGTCTTCTGCTTCCAATTGCATAGTCTATTTCCTTCTATATTAGCCATCTGCTGATGTCCTTATAGACTCTTATCTTTTTGGTTGTGTGAAGCACGTGTTTGTGATGGACAAGTTGTTTGTCACACAGAACTTCATGAGCTATTTTCCTGCTTTCTGTCTGACCCCCAGTCCAAATTTACCAATGACATTTGATTCTGACATTTGATTTCCTACTTGTGCATTCTAGTCACCGATTGTTATCAGCATGTCTTGTTTTGATGTGTGGTCAGTTTCTTCTTGAATACTTGCATAAAAGCATTTAATTTCGTTTTATTCAACTTAGTAAAATGAAAATGGAAGAGTGGGGAAAAAAGAATAGAAAAACACAGCAATGGTTTGCCACATCCTTCTGCTGTGCAGTGTGTGGGGCCAAACCCCACATGTGCTGGTTCCCTGTTGTCACAATCACCAAACACTGTTGTGGTTCTAAACTCTTTACAGGTGTTATTAACTAAATTCAATTTATTCTTCAGCACATGCATGTAAAGTAGATATTATTTGCATTTTACACAGCAGTAAACACATTTTAAAGATATTTAATGGGTTTGTTTGTTCGCTTGTTTGTTTTTGATTTTT